AATTTTTATTATTTTTCATGATTCCACAATATGAAAACACAACAATCTCCAACCAGCATTAAACAGAGGAGAAAAGAAACACAAACAACAAATATATCAACTCCACACAAACAAACAAATAAACCAACAAACAAAAATAAAAAAAGTCTAGTAAACCTGTCCTATGGCTGATTTTAATTGTTAAAATAATGAACTGAAGTGTGTGTGAAATGCAGTGTGGATGTCAGTAACACTCTGATTTAAACAGCTGCATCATCTGCATACAGACGAATCTTTGCTGACTGTTATAATATGTTATAATAATAATATGTAATAATGTTATAATATTTATAGAGATAGGAAACAAAACAAAACCGGTACTTTGTCGGTTTGAATTGTGAGTTAATTGGTGATTCCAGTACTTTAGCCCAGTACGGATCATTTTGAGATTGGACAGAACTCGCTGATGTCTGATGTCATCTCCATCCTTCCTCCTCTCTTCTCTCTCAGGGTGAAAGATTATTCGTCAGACTGGTCGGACGAGGAAAGTCCTAAGAAGGTGCTGGCAGTGAACGGCGTGGGGGAGGGGGAGGACGAGGAGGAGCAGGTAGAGGGTGTGCAAGTCCGAGCGCTCTATGATTACATGGGCCAGGAAGCCGATGAGCTCAGCTTTAAAGCAGGTATTAACCCTTACTAATGCTTATAGATAGGAGGCATCACGGGGAGGTGGGGGGGGGGAGTTGTTTCATAAAATGTGCAAAAAGAAAAGTAATTGTGAAATTTTCAGCTGCTCCAAAGACAAAAAGCTTGAAATAAAAAGTAAGAGCAGTGCAACACGTCCCGACTTTGTGAAGGTTTTAACTCCTTTAACAAACACCCGAAAATAATATACCCAAAATAAAAAGGTCATGACCCTGGTCTCCTTTTGAAAGGTAACCCTTTAGAATTTACAAATAAAAATTAAATAAATAAAATTTCACTTTAATTGTCTGTTCAAGTCGGTCTCATTGTTGTCTTCTCCCTCTCGAAGTTGACAGGAAGTAAATACGAACGTTTATCTCAAGGTAATGAAGTCAGAGTTATTACGTGTTACACAGAAAATGTTACGAGTCGTGATCACGTGGAAACACTTCGTGTGATTGAAAAACCATAATAAACATCATTTGCAATCAGTTTTGAAATATTAGCAACAAACGATCTGCTCCCACCTGAACACTGTAGCACCTCATAATAAAGTTCAGTACAATACAACGTTATGACCAGCAGTGCAAACGTTATTATTAACGTTATTATTATTTACATCATATATTGAAATGATTCACATTATAGGCCCCCTAAGTTTTAGTATTTATTGTTTTTCTCCTGAAATGATCTTTTTCATCTGAAAAAGTTAATCTTAAAAATTTGTTTCCCTCTTTTTAAATAGTATTTTATTTCTCACACTTAACTCCAAATTCCCAAAAGGCAGTTAGCCTAAAGATATTTATCAGAATGAAACAATCTTTTATATCAACTTTACAACAAATTTGCACATTTTTATGAAATAACAGCTTTCATGAATATAAGATCGTATCACACATCGCACGTCCTAGTAGAGAAAAGTTCATATTTCAGGACGTGAAAACATTTTTTTTTTTTTCTTTTTGTTTCACCTGTGATGCCTCGTCTTAACACGTTTACACACACACACACTCATGTCACACACAGTTCTGATGACACCCATAAAACACACGTTACATCTGACCTCAGTCTGCATGTCATTTACTGGACGTTTGTGGATTTTGCATTAATGATTTTAAGTCACAGAAACGTATCGGCTTTTGTAAAATGAATAAATAGCTGTAAAATGACAGCTGCTTCTGTATTTGGTTTCCATCTGTGTTTACAAACAGCTTGTGAGAGTTACATTTACATTTTTTTAAAAGGTATAAAACTGACTTATTTCTGTGACTTGAACTGGATCATCATTGCAACAGATTCACATATTAAATTGCTGATAACATGAGAACTGTGTGTTTACACCTCACTGCATGACGTGTGCAGCTGTGACAGATGTGAAGCGCGAGCAGCTTGACATCGTCTCTGGTTTGCTGATTTAGTTCTGTTTGGAAATAAAAATAATTTCAAGTCCAAAACGCAGCTTTATTAAATGCGTAACCTGTCTCACCTGAGAACTCAGAACTCACAGGTGAGTCTTACTGGAAATAAAACCATCACTCAGGCTGGTTTTATTCTCCTGATCCACTGGATGCTTTGACATCTATCTGGGTATCGAGACTGCTGTCGTGTGCTTCATCTTAACTTGCAGGATTATTGTAGAATAATCTGAATTCAAACTCATATCGCTCAGATAAATCAACTGTTAGAAATAAAGAAATAAAAACACTGAACAAGATGAGAAACCTCAGTTTATCAAGGTCATTGGATGTATTTGTATTGTATACTATGTATTGTACAGTATTTGTTGTGTTTTTCTTTTCAGTGACGGGAACGTTGTGAATGCAAGTTTCTTCTTTGTATTGAAAGAGAAACTTGACACACGAAGATGACAAAGCTCTGTTCTGACTCTGGTGTTTTGCTGATCCGCATCGTAGGAACAGCTAAGCTCAGTTGCATCTTAAGAGATAAGATACCTGTAGCATATCGCCGACGCTGTCAGAGGCTGGTTCAGGGAAAGGAGTAACAACCAGAATTCACACAAGCTTTCATGGGTTTGGGAATAACGATGATTGTTTGAGGGAGACAATAAAAACCTCCTGCCTTGGTGGGACAATAAAGTTCTATTGTGTTGAGATGCAGCTTGATAACAGTGGCACATGAAAGAAAGCGCAGAGCTCCGCCAAGGCCAAACTGTACAAAGTCATAGACCTCAACACCATAAATATCAGACTTTTGTTTGTTTTTTTTACATCAAGATCTGAACATTATTTCCTAAGAAAGTGTTGAAAAACGGCCGATCTTGCAATGTTACGGAAGGTGATTAAAAACTTCCTGGATCGGTCCCTTTCACCAGATCAGCACCAAAATGTAATGATTCATCACTTCACCAGGTTTGGTGCTAATTGGTTGAGTACTGTTTGTGTAATCCTGCTGAGAAACAAACAAACAAACAGACACACAGGTGAAAACATAACTCCCTCTGCGGAGTTAATGAGATGAAATGAGACTGAACCATCATGAGCTGTGAAACCAAAACAGTGGGATAAAAGAGGCCGTGAAGAATCGCTTTTCAGCGGGAGGTAACGTCGCCCTCAGTTAACCTTTTTCATGGTGTCAGAGCTTTAGTCCGTCCTCTGCAGGCGGGCAGGCTTCATGGGGGGTTAGAAGGGCACCGAGCTAATGGGACCTGATGGGACCACAGAGGGGGAGACCTTAGTTAGGAAAAGCTTACCCCAGCTCAGCTCTGCTTAGCCTGAACCAGGACCCATGGTAATTTACCCCCATGATACATGACAGTTTCATTAGTTCCCCAGGCAACCAGGAACCAACCAGGACTAGAGCTGAAGTGAATCATTGATTAATTGATTGACAGTAATTTTTGTCATTTTTTTTCAGTAAAAATGCCAAAAATTCACAAGTACCAGCTTCTAAATGTGAATATTTGCTTCTTTTCATGAAGCAGTTTAAACATGTTTCAAGAAACGACCGTGCATTCTTCACTTTATCTGACATTTACTGAAGGTTGCTCTCGGACCTGTTGATAATGAGGACAGCTGGTGGTTGCAGTCTTACAGGACTAGAAGCAATTTAATAAACAAAAGAAATTCAGGTCTTGAATCCTCTTCTCTTCTCTCCATCATGAATGCTTCCTCCCACTTTGCGACACTTTTAATTTGACATGTCTGATGGAGGAGCTGACTTCCTTCCTCTTCCCTCCAGGCGAGGAGCTGCTGAAGCTGGGTGAGGAGGACGAGCAGGGCTGGTGTAAAGGACAGCTGAGCAGCGGCCAGGTCGGCCTCTACCCCGCCAACTACGTCCAGCTCATCACATCCTGATGCCCCGCCCTCTCCGGTCATGCAGCCAATGGTACAACTACACTCAAGATGCCAGGACCAATCAAAAGCTGTTAGTGCTGACATGTAGACACGCCCCCCCCCCCCCCCCCCCCCCCAGTCAGTTTTTGGTTACTGACTCTAAAACTCGTCACTGAGTTTGTTTTTGTTGTTTGTTTTTTTCCTGTTGTTTGTTGTTGTGAAAGGCCGCTCGCTCAGCCCGAGGTCAACGACGTTCCTGTTTGAAAGAAGCTTCACAGGCAAAGAGAAATCTCCTAAAGGCCTGTGACCATGAACAGACAGTAGACTGTAGAAAAGACATGGACGCACGTTCTGTGACGTCACGCATCACTTTCTGCTCGCTGCCATCATTTTTGAGTTTTGAGTTACTAAAGTCAGGAAAAAAAAAGGACGGTGGAATGAGCAAGGAGCAACCACAACGTCAAGTGAATCAAACACACCTCAAAACATGCTTCTTTTTAAAGAAATACTTCAACACTTTGGGAAATACACATACTCACTTTCTTTTTGAGTTAGATGAGAAAACCAGCACCGCTCTGATATCTCTCACGAGGCTGAAGACAACTAGCCGAGCTTAAACCTGCCTCTATAGCTCAGTTTGTTTTGAGGTTCTGGTGGATGGAGTTTGTCATCTTTGGACAGGGCCCGGCTAACTGTTTCCCCTTGTTTCCAGTCTTTGTGCTAAGCTAAGCTAACTAGCTGCTGGCTGCAGTGTTGATCTAAGTCAGTAAGTGTATTTCCCAAAATGTTGAACTGTTTTTTAAGCCTTAGTATTCTCATCTTTAAGAGAAGTAAAGTGAACGTCTCGTGGGGAAAGAAGTTGGGACTTTTCCGGTAGATCTCAAAGCGGCTTTCCTCTTGAGTTTTCTTGGATCTAGTTGGAGGCCGTTAGAGGAACTGCGGCTGGAGGCTCCTCGTCATCGTCGTCTCCGTGACGACAGTCGACGAGATGAAAAGACTGAGGCTGAATCCAAATGTCCACCTCCCGGACTCACGGACTTGATCCCTCGCAGACTTCAGTCGTACGCACCGTGACGTGTACCGTCATCACGTCAAGTCTGCGAGGGCAGGACACTGCGAGGCCTCAAACCTGTTTCACTCGTTGCTGTGGAAACGTCCGAAGCAACTACAGTCATGCACACAGTGTGTCATCACGCTGCAGGGCTTCTGTTGGCTTCCATCACTAAAGGACGACAATAATACAAATTGTGTTGATTACCTCTGTTTAAAAGAAAGTCATGTCCATATTTCAGTTAATTGTGGGTAATTCAGTCAGTGAGGTCTGTACCTCAGCCAGTCTGCAGAAAGTCTCCTCGAGGCCTCTTGTGGCCCCCCACGTCCGCAAAGTCTGTGAGTCTGCAGGTGCGGTGACACCTGGACATCTGGATTCAGCCCGTCAGTGCCTTAGTCAATGAGGCCAGAAACGTGCGGCGCCGCCCTGCTGTATAAACTGAGGAATTACAGCCGTCTGCTGGGTGACGACCTGCTGATGACCTCCAGTCTGACCCCAGTAGAAACCCGCTGATCTGCTGTTGCCTGGACGTTTAAAGAGTTTGAACGTTGTGCAGGCAGCAGCTGATCGCGCCTCCTCTCAGTCATTTAGCTTGGTAACGGTTTATTTTGGTTAATCTGTAGATTTTTTAGGTGTTACACTGAATTCACATTCTCTCCTTTGTTGATTATTTCTTAATGTGGTAGCTGTATATTAATATTAAGTCAACTGATTTTCAATATGGATGGTTCATTTTTTTTTAAGAATAGCATTTTTACAGTCAACTGAATGACTTTCTAATTTATTTTCCTTTTTAATTTAGCGATCGTTCTTCATTTGAACTAGACTCACTAAAGCAGGCAGAGTTAACTGACTGTTAGATTAGTCATCTAACTTGTGGAAGGTGGTTTGTTGCTAGTTTGTTCACAAAGCACACGCGCCTCAAATGTCTAAAATAAGTGACGATATTTTGTCCGGTTTTTGGGTTTTGCATGTTACAGTTTGTGGTGTGTGTGTGTGTGTGTGAGTGTGTGTGTGTGTGAGGGAGCGTCCTCTGCTCTGCTGGTTGAGTGTTGCTACAGCTAACCCCATGTAGATGTTCAATAAGAGATATAATAGAGAAATTAACGCCGCTGCTCCTTTTGATCTTTGCTTTTTCTCTCCAAAATCATGTACAGTTCATAAAGTGGGAAGCAATAATAAAGAGCTTTCTACAGCTGGACGTTTTACAGGCTTTCTTTTGTTCTCATCTTGCTTTTATTCAGTAGTAATTAATATAGTGTCCTGCATACTTTTCAGGTAAGTACATTATAGTGTTGGGAGGTGGGAAGACGTATTCATGCACCTGTGGTTCTGGTTCATTTTTCCCATAGACGATGTTACATTACTGACGGTTGGAGCTCTTCTGCAGCTCAGACAATCTCACAGTTGAATCATTAGTAGAAAAGATTAACAACTCCTCTAGAAGTTACCAGCTCGGGTGCATAAAAACGTCACGTCCCGAGGTGCGTTTTGATGAGAAGCAACACAGTCACAAGCTTAAAATGCTGTTTTGTGAATTGTTAATGGCAGGTGGAAGCTTAAGATGTGCTGAGAAAAGTGACCTCAAACCGATTCACCCAAAATAATTCTGACTTAGACAAAAATTCCCCTAAAGCTCGTTATGGAGCAAATAAATTCAGTGTATTAGACAGTTCTGTTGATCGTGGTGCGGGCTGGTTCCTGATCAATCATGTTCAACGGCTAAAAGAAATATAGCAGGTACAGTTTAATGAAGGGCTGTTGTATTGGATTGCCTCAGGTTGCACCTGCAACTCTATATACAATTTCCGTTACCTCGCACTGTGTCTAATCTGTTTTCTACTTCTTCCAGTCTGCATTGTTGTTTCTGACCAAAATGTTCCCACACTAAAGTACAGGATATCATATCCAGTATTAAAATGGACTCAGGTTGAGGCAGAAATCTGAAAATCTGCAGACATTTTTATTAAATTGACAAATTTTATCTGTACAGCAAAATCAAATCTCACAATGATAATTCTGTTACATCTTCATATTACATGGCATAATCCCAAAAGAAACAAAAACAAAAAAAAAACAAACTGCACACCGATAAAGTTTGTACACAGAGACTTCGTACAAAACTGGTTATGAGAGCTGTCTTTATTTCCTGTTAAATCGCTCTGATTCAACATCAGCAGACGCACACACAGAAACATGGAGATCATTTAGAAAAGCTCCAAGCAGCGAGCGGTTGGTTTCTATCGGTCAGTCGATCGGCTCGGCCTTCGGGTAGGAAATTTCTTTTCACAGGCAAAATCCTTTGACGGTGTGTCTCCACATTATTTGCAACTTGAGCTTCATTAACTTTTGTAAATAAACAGAAAACAGTGTGTATATGCTGCACACTCGATCTTACTCTGTCTTTAAATCACACACATTAATGTGCATCAAAAAGCTGCAAAACGTTTGTTAAAAGAAAATTAGCGTAAATATTTTCACTTATTTGATGAATGTGATGAATGAGGCTCGTCGTCCAATCAGCTGACGTCAGTGGACAAAGGCAACAAGCTGCTTTTCTTAAATGGGACTACATCCGTTTAGTGAAGATCTAAAACAGAATTTAAGGGACAGTAAAAGTATTTTACCTGATTGACGTGACCCAGTTCTAGGGTTTTTTTTCTATGTCAATAATTAACATGTTATATCTGATTTGTTTAAGTCGTACAAACAGAAATGTAAAAGTGAGTATTTGTGGTTTTAGAGGAGTTACATCAAGGAGCGGGGTCAGAAACTTTTAAATGTGTGTGTGTGTGGGGGGGCAGTTTTATAGAAGAGGGGCTCATTTGTAAAAATGTGTTGACTCACATTTAAAACCCTGGTTCTTGGCAATAATAAACTACATTATTACGTACATTGTTCATTCTGTGTAATACCTGAATAGCAAATAAATATCTAAACAATTTTCAATACTCTGATATCAAAAATATATCAAATCATGTAAATAAATAGCTTCTGTTTGTAACTCCAAATATCCCACAGCCACAGACAGATTATGAGACGTTGGGCCTCGTTTTAAATGACTCCCACCTCCTACAGATGAGGAACACCTGCACTGCAAGAGACACAAAGCAACGACTGTGGTTGTTCTGTGTCTCTTAGTCATTCTGGTTTTCTATGAGGTCATTTAACGTCTCTTCGTGGTTGTTTTGTGTCTCCCTGTGGTCGTTCATGTTGATATGTGGTTGCTTTGTGTCTCTTTGTAGTCATATTGGGTTTCTGTAGTTTTTCTGTGTCTCTTTGTGGTCGGTTTGTTGCTATGCAGCTGTTTTGTGTCTGTCTTTGCTTTTTCGCCTCTTTGTCGCCGTATTGTGTCTCTGTAGTTGTTTTGTGTCTCTGTAGTTGTGTCTCTTTGTGGTTGTGTCTCTTTGTGGTTGGTTTGCGTGTCTTTTTTAGTCGAACTGTGTAGAACTGGGTCCGAAGGGCTGCAGAGTAATCGAGGCCTGACGGAGGGTTAGCAGCTCAGCGCAGGTTTAATAGTGTGGTCCCACCTCTGGTACGTCAATGATACATAAATGATCAGAAATTAGATTTAAAAAATAAAAGGAGCTCTCTGTGCAGAGAGATTCAGCTGACAGAGTACAGAGTCTCATGTTTAAATGCTCATTGATGTTCATCACTTCCTCTCACAGGACCAGGGAGAATGAAGCCTCTCTGTTCTGTGACGGGTTTAGTTCATTAAAGGCAGAAGAGGACGGGGGACGACACGGGTCATGGTAAAAACATTACAATTCAAAACTGAAGGTGGAACTACCCTTTTGGCCTCCACTGCTGTAATCTGAACTCTGAAGCCTCACAACAGCCAGCTGTCTCACCTGCGCAGGTAAGCTTAGCCGGACGACAGAGAAATGTTTAAACCATGCGCAAAACTAATTTGAATCTGAAATCAGAATCAGTCATTAATCGTCAATAAATAAGGCATAGAAATAAAAAAAATAAAAAAAGTGCAATGATTTTAATTAGCATTTTAAATGAAATTTAAAAAAAAAAAAAAAAAAACGTGCACACAACAGTCCTGACAACAGAGACCAGCTTTGACCAGTTTCAGTCAATGGGGGGGTTTTCAGTAGCGAGTGACGAGTCGTACCTGGTGAGCTGGACTCGGTCCCTGTACAGGAGTGTGGAGGACGGGACGTCATGATCGATGAGAAGATGTTTCAAAGCAACAAGAACATCTCGGAGTTCAACCCCCAAAGTTTCCCACAAGACTTCAGGTTGCACCGTGTGCGATTCAGGCTTGCCGCAGTTCCTTAGAAAGACCATTTCCTGTTGCTCTACATGCTCCAGTCTCCATTAAATACCACAAAAAAGCATTAGGACCTAATGGGTGGAAAGCAACTCTAACGTCAGAAGCAGCCCTCAGTCACATCATGAACAGCGCTTATTTAGAAACTTAAAAGATGCCGGACGACTTCATGTCCGACTCCCAGACGGAAACCTTGGGACAAGCAGATTTTCTGGGAGGGAAATATTATCACCAAGGAAAAGAACGCTCCAATCAGACGGTCAGTTGCTCTCTTGACGTGTGGAGATGCCCGAATGGAGATTAAAGATTTTCATGAGACTCGGGGGGGAAAACGTTTTGCATTTGATGCAAATTTCAGCAGCAGCCAAAGAGTTTTAAACCGAGGAGGAGGTCCAGATGTGGGCACTGGTGTTGGCACTGTGCAGGTTGGCTGGTTACAGACTGGGCATCTGAGAGGGGAGGAGGGGAGGAGGGGAGGAGGGGAAGGAAGGGGGCGGAGGGGGGGGGGGTACAGGAAGGTGCGAGGAGTCAGTCTTTTCTGAAGCGTCGGAGCAATCGTCCTCTACCGGTCCTTCAGTTCTCTCGTCACCCGCTTGGTGATCCGACCGCACAGCAGCCCCACCAGGAAGAGGACGCACACGCTCAGTGCGATCATGAACAGGATGTAGTTCTTGGAGGGCGACGTCATCACCTGCACTGCCAGGTCTGAGAAGCCCTCTGCTGGCGCCACCTACAGGCCGGAGGGAGAGGTTAACATCATGCACAGATGAGGGATAAACAGAGCACCTTCCTCTAAACTCTGGTGGAGCAGGAAATCCGCGTGCTACGTTTTTTTCTTCAGGGATTTCAACTCCAGGTTTTCAATGTGCAAATTTAAAAAGTGGATGGAAACCACCCCTCTAGCTGCTGTAACGCTCTGTGGGAACCGGTGTTTACCTTTGCGGCGTAGCTCCACATGTCGATGCGGTCCTGAAGCCTTTTCTTACATTCAGGCTGCAGACGAACTCTCTTGTCCTGTAACGCCTCCATCAGACACGACATCTCTGCAAGAGAGGGAGGAACAAATAGAGACGTTCAAACACACTGAGGAGAATCTCGCTGGACGACATTTAAAACCCCAAACCAACAAAATAATTAAATAAAGACTCTAAACTACTGAATAGTGGTCGATAGTCACAGGTTACAGAGTTGTCTCTCACTCTAAAATATCTGGCATGTGTTTCTAAAACTGATGCGTCTTTATGAGCCTGGAAAAAAGTTCTGTACAAATTCAACAAACACCCACGTCGGCCTCTGCCGGGCGTGATGGCAGCACAGTGGTGTTTGAGGTCCAGAGCGCAGGCTGTGTGAAGGACCGGGTCCACGAAGATGTCCGCCTTACTCTCCTTCAGCATGTTCAGGACTTCCTGCACAGAAGAAGAACAAACACGGTTTGAGTCGAATGCAGTTGTTGTTTTTGTCTGGGGTAGATTTGGTGGAGAAACTTTTATTTCTTTCTTTCTATTTGAGCGTTATTAAAGCAGAACGGTCTCTTGAATTTGTTTGTTTTCCGTTTGTTGACGATTGTTTTTTTTTTTTCCTACAGTCCAGAAACACCTGAACACATCAGCAAGTAGATGCATTATCACATTAATACAAGGCGAATTTCTATAAAATTTAAAGACTGCACGTCGCTAACTAACTGACCTGGAACCATCAGTCTGCTTTAGGAACTTTGACCATCAAGACTTTAGTCCTTTAGTTGAGAGATTTTCAAAAATAATATCTGCAGCTCGAGCTCAAATCTTTTCCATCCAACCACATTCTCTCTGAGGATTTTTCAGTAAATATCAAGAAATAAATCACATCCCATGACACTTTCTGTACTTTTCTTTCTACCTTTTTACAGGCCTCCTGTTTGATTTTCAGCAGGTTGACTTTCAGACACTCCTCCACCTGACCGGTCTGCTCCTGAGCTGCCGCCTCCTCCACACACAACCTGGAGATCTGCAGATGAAATAATGACAGCGAGGAACTTTTTCCATCAGTTTGACGTATCACATATAATGAGGCATTTGATGCACCGGCCGTCAGGGTTTAGAAAAGCAACCAATGAGTCTCCAGGGGCGACCGATAAAAGTACAGAAACATTAACATACATAAATAAAAATATGAAATAAGGGCAAATAAAATAATGATCAAGAATCCGACTCGACTGAAGTGGATCAATAAGAAAAAGTGGAGAAAAACTGAACTGAACAATCTTCCGTCCAGCTAAACATCATTTCACCATGAAGTTCATATTTTCTGAATGGTGAAGTGGATTTCTTTAAGACTAAAAATGTCCACAAACACTTCAACCCAGTTTTGTTTAGAACAGGAAGGATGGAGCTTCCACCTGCAGACAATCAACCTTTTATCCACAGATGCAGCCGTAAGTACAAAAATGTTTTTCATCAACAGAAGAAGAAGAACGGACAGAGGAAGCCCTCGGGTCTGGAAAACAAAGTGTAAAGCAGTGGACGGGTTTGTGCGTTCACCTCGTCTGAGCAGTGCATCTGCAGCTGCGGGTCCAGTCTGTAGTCCAGCGCCGACTCCTGCAGAATCACTCGGATCTGGTCTTCACAGTCCGGAGACAACCTCTGAACCAAACCCCAGACACCGAACACTCAGTTTAACACATCAATAACCATTTTTCACTTCTTTAAAAAGTGTCAAGACACAAATTTAGGAATGTGAAAAAGATCCAACATGACTTTATAGGACCGCAAGTAATAAATATTTTAATTAGAATTTTATCCCATTTTATTGTGCATACATTTTATTGTCCTTTCAACATTTCATCCTTTTATTTGCAGATTTGTAAGTTTTACTGTCGTCTCCGCCAGAGGTTTTATGACGCTGCTTGTGATGTGGTCGTGGTCTAACCTGGTCAGCATATTTGAGTTTGAGGCAGGCGATGACCTGACCCTCCAGCTCGCTGTCCTCGCTCGCCTTGTTCAGGATGGACTGGCAGAACTTCGGGATGTCGGCTCGACAAGCCTTCCTCAGCACCGGGTTCAACCTGTAGTCTGTAGGAGGAGGAGGAGGAGGAGGACGGAGGTGTATCAGTGTGCTAAATGTGGATTCTGGTTCGGTTCATCCAGGTGTGTGTGTGTGTGTGTGTTTCTACCTGTGTTCTGTGTGATCTGTCTCTTGGTGATCATCTGTTTACACTTGGGATCCATCAGCTCGCTGTTTTTGTTCTGCTTCAGACACTGGAGAACGTTTCGGGCGTCGGCCTCGGTGCAGAACCGCTGCAGGAGAGAAAACCAAACACCTGAGAGGTGACCTGGGAACACAACAACATCACTACCACGAGGACACAGGCACAAACTTTCGCCAGATGATCTCAACCACTTTATCTGGAGAGTGCAGCCAACCCGCCCCGCCTGGAGCAGCCACTGCAGTAAAATGCTGCTTACACACCGATGCATCCATATTATCAATCAATATATAACAATGCATCAGTCGAGGTCCAATTTTACTTTTGATACTTTGATTCTGTCCTGCATTCATCTGCATTTTTACTAACCTGTTTGTTCTCGACCTGTCTGACCTTCTACGTGCTCAAGTTTCTTCCTGATAGGCCAAAATCATGTTTTGTGAGGTCACCACGACTTTGACCTTTGACCTTTGACCACCAAAATCTAATCAGTTCATCCTTGAGTTCTAGTAAATGTCTGTACACGATTTGAAGAAGTTCTGTCGAGGCGTCGTTGAGATGTCGTGTCCAGGAGAACGGGACGGACGTGCAACCCAGAACAATTTGCCAGTATTGTAATGAATCCAGTATTTTATCATATATTTACTATGTTGTCAAACATATCAAATAGTGGGAATTCAAATTTAAAATGTTCTCCCCCCTCCTCCCCCTCCTCCTCCTCCTCACCTTGATCATCTGCTTGCAGACTCTCATCAGCTGGTAGTCGAGCTCGGGGTCGCTCATCTCCACCTCCTGCAGCCTGAAGATCCGCTGGTGACACCTCTGACTGAGCTGCTTCTTCTGCTCCTTCAGACACTCGATCATCTGAGGAGGTGCAGCGGGCGGCAGAGAGGGGGAGGAGCAAAATAGGAGGATGAGAGAGGTGAGGCAGGAGGAAGAAAGTGAGGAGCAAAGAGAAGAGGGGGAGCAGAGTGAGTGAAAGAGAAGAGAAGAGATCGGAGGAGGGAGGGACGAGAGAGGTGAGGGAGGAGGACCAGAAAAAAAAGGGAGAAGAGGAGGGGAGAGGAAAAGGAGGAGGTGGGGTAGAAACAGGGCAGAGGAAGGAAAGAAAGGGAAAAGAGGAGAGGACGGAGAAGGAGAAAGTATCTGAGATAATGTCGGCTCTGATGTTTCTAACTTGTAAAGTTTCTGAAGTTTCTTACCTGAGCGTTTCCGAAGTTGACGTTGGGACAAAGTCGACTGATGTCAGATTTACAGGGATCATACAGCTCCGGTTCCAACCGGATATCCTCCGACTGAGAGCGGAGAGCGGGAGGAAGGTTCATCTTACAACACAGTCTCATGGTGTCACGACACACAGGCCGTTTACAGACGTGTTCAACACATTAACACACTTTTTAAAAAGTGTCACTGTCACAATGGACAAAGGATTTTAATGATGTAAAGCTTTTTTTTTTCATCTGTGAAAGGTTATAGATAAATAAATAAATAAATAAATAATAAATAAGTGTTAAACAATAAGGCCTACATGAATAAAATGTGTTATAATGTGTTATAATTAAATGAAAATGTGTTATAAATGTTACACACATATTTTTGTCAGTACAGCTGTGTATGAATAAAGTCCATTATAGAGCTGAATAAAACAACTATCCCAAAAACATCCCTGTATAAACACCTGTAGTAGGAGAGGTAAGGGTGTGTGTGTGTGTGCCTGTGTGTGTGTGTGTGTGTGTGTGTATGTACCATCTCCAGCTCCTCCACCCGCAGCTGTTTACGACATTTCAGAGAGACCCGCTGCTCCCTGGCGTCCTGCAGCGTGTCGTTCCTCACTGTGGTGCTCAGACAGATGACGACGTCCACCCTGTGAATTATGTCAACTTACATCAGACCCACTGGACACGTGAAACACTTGAGTGTCGTGCAGAGGACTCCACAAAGACGAGGAGGGGAAAAAAAGAAAAAGCTACAAATGCAACATTCAAATTTCCAGTGCTCAGGATGTTTCCATGGAAACTGAACTCACTTCTTCTTGATGTTCGGACACAAGCGCAGAACGTCCTCCTTACAGGACATCTTGAACTTGTAGGAGAACCGGAAATCCTTCATTTGAATCTGAAAGTTGATACAAGGAGTGAGAGAGAAAGATCGCACCATGTTCTGTCAAATGGATTTACTGTGACGCCCTCAGGTCGGCGTTACCATGTGCCCCAACACTTCTTATTTTAAAGGATATATTTAAATTCAGTCATTTATGTATTTATATTATTTATTTACTATAGAAACTGTGACATAATGTAATGTAACAGTTTGACATGCACTTGTTAGTTATTAAAGTACTCAGATTAAAGAGACAGAAACATAAAACTAACCAGCTGGAAGTGTGTGACGCCGACTAAACACTTGTCGTTCATCTCTTTCTGGTGTTTATTCTGAACCAGACACTCCATCAGATCACCTGTATCGATCTGGTTATCAGCTACATCCTACAACACACACACACACACACACACACACACACACACACACAGATTAACAATACAAATCAATATTATTCACTCATCATTCAAGGAAATGAAACATAAACACACCTCTGACAGTTGAAATTTAAAGCTGGAACCTCTCTGATTTCTTTTTACAGTCTGACAGTCGGATCTCTTCACTGTCAGATCCTCAGCCCGGTTCTGAGAGCAGCACTTAAGTTGTTGAGTGTTACTATGAGTAAGAATTTATCAGATCTGGAAACATCAGCAGCTGATAATTCCTGACCTGCCTCACAAGGCCTGACGAGGCAATGAGGTTCTGAGTGTTTAAAAAGTAGAACGGCGCATAAAACTGTATACATGTAGGAAAGTGTGTGTGTGTGTGTGTGTGTGTGTGTGTGTGTGTGTGTGTGTGTGTGTACTCACATGGCAGTGGGCCTGGATGACGGGCTCACAGGCTCTGATGAGCAGAGCATCAATCTGGATGTCCTGCAGCAAACAGAGAGAGAAGAGAAGAGAATGATGATCCTCATATTGAAAATGAATTAACCTCCTCTCCTGTGACCGTGAGGCTGCTCAGGTGACTAGTTATTCTGGTTTTCCAGTTAATGTCAGTGTGGTGACCAGTTTCTGATCCTGGTGAGCTCTGACCTCCGACTCCAGCTCTGTCAGGTTGCCAACGACTTCCCTGCAGGCAGAAACCAGGTCCTCCAAATGATCCTGCAGACACTCCAGCTCCTGGACACACACACACACACACACACACACACACACACACACACACACACACACACACACACACACACACACACACACACACACACACAGAAGTTTACATGCCTAGTATTTCCGTGGATAAATCATGTAAACCTCCTTTCAGCTTCTTTCAAATGTTTCAGTGTTTGATTTCTCGTCTAGTTTTAGGTTGGAAGATCTGATGAATCAAACCAACAGAAAACTGTGGTAGCAGAGGTCAGCAGAGGTCACGGCGCCGGATCGTCTCACCTGTCCGGTGTCCGTCTTCTCGCTGCACCACTTGCCGAGGTCGGTCATGCAGCGTTTCTGAAGCTCAGGGTCCAACTTCACATCCAGTGCCCTCTGGTGGAGGATCCTCTGAACCTCCACCTTACAGTCCCGAGATAACTGCACACACACACACGCACCAGCACACGCACGCGCATACACACACACACGCACACACACACACACAGTAAGTATAGTCAGGAAAAAGTACTTAAAGTATCAAAAGCAAAATCATCATTTATGCATTTTTAATATGAGGTTGCAGCTGATGATATTTTAATCATACGGATCAATCTTCTTATTTACTTGATTAATCTATTGATCGTTTGCTTTGTCAAAATTAAGAAAATGGTGAGAATCACAGTTACCCAGCAACCAGAGTGAGTGACACTGTTTCTCTGTTGAATCCTCAAAATTATTCAAATAATTAAAAGGAAATGTATAAATGTCTGACAGCAGCTCCACGCGCAGTAATTGCAGAGACAGCGGCTCATCAGCAAACGATGAATAAAAATGAAAGCGTGTTTTACGGCTCCCCCGGTAATTTTACTTCTGATTTCCAACAAAACTGAAAAAATCAATTGAACCCTTCACCGGGATCAGTGCTGATCGACGTAGCTCCACGTACCTGCTCAGGTGGGTTTACCTGTTAAATTTAAAAAACATCACAGTTACACCTGCTGATCGCGCTGCCAGAGAGAGAGAGAACCTTTTCTATATACACCAGCCTCCACAACCTGTGTGTGAGTCTGTGTGTGTGTGTGTGTGTGTGTGTGTGTGTGTGTGTTTCTGGCGTCCTCGTACCCGGCGTCCCTGCTCCTCGGTGCGGTAGGCGTGGCGGTACAGGCAGGAGAAGACGGCGCCCGGCGGCATCAGCTCACTGGTCTCGTTCCAGCCGTGGGTGTGGCAGAGCCGGGCGGCGTCGCCCTGACACTTCTTATACAGGATGGGGTCCAGTCTGCGAGACAGAGGAGGTGATATTACGCTTCTTTAATTTCATTTCTTCTATACCACAGCCATGACAGGGACTTCTTTCCTCTGGTTTATAGTCCAGTTTGTAAAGAAAAAGCATCAGTTGAAGATTAAAGTGATAATTCTTGTTGTATCGATGGAATATCGATCATCGTGTCAATAACGTTTAGATCTGTTTTAACTAACTGAAGCTGTTTAAAGCAGATAAAAGGTGAAGAGCAGAAGAAAGTAAATAATTATTCAGATTCACTGACTCACTTCCAGTCTCTGGATATGAAGTACTGCAGCTCCAGCAGTCTGTGCTCACAGTCCTCCACCATCTTCTCTGTGTACAGATGCTCCATCAGGCACGACAGGATCCTACACACACACACACACACACACACACACACACACACACACACACACAACTAATTAATGATTTGTCAAACTTACTCTACTCTGCTTTACTCTATGTCTTACTGGACGTAGAGTAAAGCAAAACAAAGGGGGGGGGGTTCACTTGTCCCCATCAAGGGGCCATTATCTCATAATCCATCCATGCCTGGATCCAGATAAGCAACAGACATGCAGTTTAGGTTAATTGTCTGACTCTACGCTTCCTGCTGTCTGTCTGTATACGTGTCAGTGCTGTGATTGGCTGGTGACGTCTCGCCCGGTGTCAGCTCGCATCAGCTCCGGCCTCACTGCAACCCTGAAGGACGGGCAGTAAAGCTAATGGACGGATGGGAATTTATCCGTCATGAGTCAGTGAGCTTCCTCGCAGCTGTCTCCCTTCAACCACCAATTATGACTAATGTCACGGTTCACTGAAAGAAAGAAACAATCACGACCTTTGGAACGAGCTAAATTAATTCATTCCTTTTTTCCAAGACCTGGAGACACCAAGCAAATGAATCATCTGATTATTTTTTAAAGTTGAAATTATTTGACATAAGGTATTAGTGTGTGAGTGTGTGTGTGTGTGAGTGTGTGTGTGTGTGTGTGTGTGTGTGTGTGTGTGTGTGTAACCAGCTCACATTGGGTCTCCGGTGCGGATGTGTTTGCAGGCGGTCTGGATCACTGACTCACAGGCCTCATTGAGCGCGCGGTCGATCCGGTAGTCGGCTCCGGGGTCCGCGGACTGAATCAGCGTCTGCAGCTGCAGAGAAAACAAAGTTGAGAAAAAAAAATGAAATGTCAGCAGCACAAATCTTATTTACATTTTTTATTTCATGTATTGATAAACAACCTATCAAACCCCCACTGACATACAGTCTGTTAGGATTACAGTTTATGACCTATGATTAATAATACTGCCTCATTTATATCATCGTTCATAATATTTGAAATGATATAATATACTGTAAGTTTATGCAACAAAAACATCTTTTATTTTCACTCTCAAACGTCCCAGAGGTGTCACAGTGGCAGCGAGTGTTGTGGTCTTACGGCGCTCTGGCAGACGCTGTCGACGGCGGTGCTGCGGTCGCCGCGTCCGATTCTCATCAGACAGTGCAGCGTGCGGCCTTTACGGTGCAGGCCGGAGCAGTGAGCCTCGATCTCCGTCCGGCAGTGAAGCACGATCTCCGGACTCAGAGAGAAATCCTCCATCAGCATCCGCCGGTAGTCCAGCATCTCGCCCTGACACTCCCCGCTGACCGGACGACCTGCACAGAGACAAGATCACATTATTACTGACACAGTGAAGCGCCGATGACATACTGTAACTACTGAAACAGAGGTGTAAACCACACCTCACCCCCCCTCCCCGGCTCACCGCGGTGGACGGCGGCCTCCAGGCACAGCAGCAGGTACGACAGCCGGGCCTCGCGGGCTCGAGGCAGGTTGGTGTCCAGGCTGCAGCGCTGCTTCCTCAGGTCCATCTTGCAGGCTTTAGCCAGAGAGTAACTGACCTTGTAGTCCTGCGAGATCAGCTTCTGACGGGTGGTGAGAGCATCACGGCACTGTGGAGAGGAAGGAGAGGAGAGAGAACACAATATGATCCAAAACACACTGAGTGTAGAAGTTCATGAGTCGAGGAGACTCGTCCCGCCCTCCTCCACTTGCCCCAGGGGGTAGGTACCTTCTCTGTCATGGCCTCTTCAAACTTGTGATTGAACAGACACTTGTAGACTTTCCCTTCTCCTGCCTGAGTCTGTGGAGAATAAAACAGCGAGATAAGAGTTGAAGCACAGCACCAATGGTTTTGCTTGTTCAGCCTGTTTCTTCACACGTTCCAGGAAGATGTTTACTTTTCTTTTTTGTTTGTTTCAGCAAATTATTCACACAAAACATGCTGATTTTTAGGTCTCTAAGGTTTTTCTCGATTGGTTTGGTCAAGTTTATGCCTAATTAGTTTGTGCCCATATTGTATTATTGTGTATGCATCTTGTATGCAGCTGTGTGCAGACCTTGTGCCTAAGATGAATTCCCCTCGGGGACAATAAAGTACGTAACTCCATTTAAATCCTAATCCTTACAAATGTGGATGGACACCAGGATGCCAATGAATGATATCAATCATTTCAGTGTGATTTACACGTAGAAACCGTTGCTTATATTATGTTGTGAAAGCAGAACTCAGCAGAGTTTCCTCACGTTCTGGCAGAATCTCTCCCGGTCATCGCGGCAGGAGAAGTAAAGGTGTCGGTCGAGGTGGAAGTCGTCTGACGACAGCTCCGCCACCCGCAGGATCGACTTCTGACACTCCTCTTTGATTGGACGAACATGATCCTGCTGCTCCGCCTCTCTCACCAACGCCTTCTCCAGACAGGCGATCACTTCCCCCTGGGAGTGCACGTCCTGACGAGGAGCAGTGCAGAAGGCCGAAGATGAGGAAGAGAGGAGGATGAAGAGAAAAAGGGAGGACCAAGGGAAGATATCAGTGTTCATGAGGCAGGTAAGACAGGTAGAATAGCCCAACTCTCCTATATTAAAAGCACTATATACAACTAAATAGACCATTTGCATCTCCCTATAGATTCTCGTATAGAGTTTTGTCTAAGTGGAAGTATAATAACCAATAATAAATAACAATAGCTGTACACTTTATTTAGGTAAATATGAAAATAGTCTTTTTGTCTGTTCATCTCTCTGTCGTTTGACAAACTCACCATCTTTCTCTGTACCACACATCATCTCATCACGGAGCGGACCAAACTAATTTTACGTCATTTAAATCGACTAAATAATAGTTTTTTTGGTTTACTTCATTGTAACCTTGTGAAGCAGATGGAGAATCCAACTTGCCACAGTGGTGTGGACCAATCAGTGTCCAGTGAGGGAAGAACTACTGGCAGCCACATCCATGTCTTAGGTGTGACGACAATGAGAAGTGACTGTTCGTTACAACAATGGCAGCTCGTACAGAGGTTAGCGTAGATGCTGCTATAGCATCAGAACTGCAGAGTATTTCTTCATCGAAACAAAGAACAAAGAACAAAGAACGGCATTGAAGGCTTTTCTCAATGGAAATTGTTTTTTCTCTCCAAACTGGCTTCAGCAAGAGTTTGATTTACTAACTAACTCTAACACAAGACTAGATCAAAACCTCGTAGATGACTGGGTAAGAAATTGCAGCTCCGCCTCTCTACCATTCACTGAACAGAGTAGATGTGAGAGAGGACATTAGTGGCGACTCTCCTCTAAGTAGCTAACGTTTGTCAATCAATCAATCAATTTTGAAAGACTAACAGCCAATGGGGAAACTCCAAACTCGGACTGAAATGGTGGAAATATGATCACTGAACTCTATCACTCACTCAGTCAGTCACGGACATTAGCGGTTACAGGTCTGGCCCCGCTGTTGCGGTCTGGCCAAAAAGGGGAAGGACGCAGAATCTGATTGGTTGAAGTTAGCCTGTGATAGACAGTGATAGACAGATGGTTCATCCAATCACCTGCCAAGTGTTTTTATTGCAAGCGCTGCCCTTTTCCAAATGGTTTCCAGCGAATCCTTCCCAGATGGTTCTGTGTAACAAACTGACTGTTGCGTCAGGTTAACGCCATTGGATAAATATGTTGCATGAGAGTTTCTTTTTTCCTTTTCTCTCAAACATAATTGAAATAATGAAACATTTTTCCAAATAAAACGATGCTTCTCACCTTGTGTCCTACGTTGATGCTGCCGCAGCGCAGAGTGTTGATGTCTTCTTTGCATTTGTCCATGAAGCCGCAGATCAGCCGGTAGTCACTGAAGATGATGCTGGTCATCTTGGTAATGTACTGGTTACACTGGTACTCGCTGATGTTGCCACGGTGATCCACCAGGCAGGACACCAGGTAGCCCCTCCCTCGCTCCTCCTCGTTACACTCCTTTATCTGAAGGTATGGAAGATGTGACAGGTCAGAGGACAGCACGGGGAATAGGAAAAAAAACACTGGAAAGACAAAGTTAAAGTTTTCGTCTTGGTGATGATTTTGAAAGATAAAAATCTTAAAGAGATGTTAGGTACAGTGCAAAAGTGTTAAGCACTTTCAACGTTTCGATTCTTATCAATCAGGGAGGCGTCTAATTGGTCCCAGATTCATTCTGCAGCAGGACAAGCTCACACACACAGCCAGAAACATTAAGAACTATTTCCAGAGACAGGGGCCTGAGGCTCCTGTGGGACAGACTGACCTCAGCGATGGTGCTCTTGCAGACCTCCGTGGCCACCGACTCAAACTTAGGATCCGTGGTCAGATTAAGTTTGTAGTTCCACAGAAGCTGATAAACAGAAGGAGACAAAAACATTCAATTTTTATGCATGTATACAGTAGAAACATCCTGTTTACACCCTGATTACAAATTAAACTTTTACAGAATGACATAAGGGAGACAGAACAGACACACTGCGATGAGCAGAGCAAAGTTATTTTTGCAAGCAGAAATGCCAAGTTTCCAATTTTTTTCCAGTGTCCTGTGTTTTTTCTTTGACAGTAAACTCAACATCTCTGGGTTTGTCTTGAATAAATCATGAGTCATAGGGCTGGGGCGACACGTCGACCTGTAATGAGTCATTACAGGTCTGCCAAGATGATGTCTAAAATCTTCTGCAGCTAAATTCGGATAACACTGAATTCTTTATTATTGGCCAGCTGTTCTCCCTGACCTTTAACTCAATGATGTCAAAAATAATATGAAACCTATTTTAAAAAAAATCTGGGGGTTCTGTTAGACACTAACCTGGATTTCAAACAACACATGGTTAAGGTAGTCCAGTCCTGACTTTACCAATGGAGGAATATTGCCAAAAGACACCACCCCTGCTTAAAGGATAGGTTCACACTTTTCAAGTGTGGACACAATCCAGTCTTTGTTTTATGCAAAAATCTATTTAAATTTTATCCAGAGCTCATATGAGATTCAGCAGCCTGAGTGAATCAAACCAGGTAGAAATCTTCCAAAGTTACAGAAACTTCTCTTTGTGTTTTTATCTGCGGCACTAAAACATTTAGTTTGTTTTAAGACAGACATGAAAAATTGTGAACCTGTACTTTCATTTTAGAGACACTTGGATTACTGTCGTGCTCTTTTTACCAGTCTGAATCAAAAAACCTCCTAACTGCCTCCAGGCCATTCAAAATGCTGCAGTTAAAGACTTTTAACTAAAACCAGGAAATTCGATCGTATCACCCCGATTTTAGCTTCCCTCCTCTGGCTGCCTGTGTGTTTTTAGAACTGACTTTATAACTTTATTGATTACTTTTAAAGCTCTTCATAGACAGGCCACCAGTTACATTAAAAACATTTTTATGAGCCCTCGTGTACCCTGAGATCCTCGGCCCGGGGGCCTGTTGGTTGTCCCCGCTGCCGGTTTAAAGACCAAACGTGATTGTGATTTGTTGTCAGGGCTCCGCTGAGCCGCTTCGTGCTTTTAAATGTCTTCCTGACTGGTTTTAGCTAATGTCTGCTTCCCTATAACGTCTATTTGTTGGTTTTTACCTGACTGTATTAACTTGATTTTTATTTTTATTTTATAGTCTTGGTTTGTTCCAGAGATGTTTTTATTTTATTAAGGCACTTTGTAATTTAGCAAAGTGGTAAACAAATAAAGTTATTGGCTGAGAGCCTTTAAGTATTAGTCAGACACTGACCACCGGCTCACAGGATGCCTAACGCTAACAATGACTTTCTTCAGTTATGTAAAGAAGCTTTGTCTCTTTTGTTTTCAGATCCTCTTCTTTCTTTCTTTCGTTTTATTAACACTGGAGGTGTTTATTGTTTTCCTGTCAGCAAGGCTCCAGCTGCAGCAGCTACAGATAACAGCTACTGACAGTCACACCGCCCAGAAAATAACAGCAAGGCGAAATAACTGTGTGTGTGTGTGTGTGTGTGTGTGTGTGTGTGTGTGTGTGTGTGTGTGTGGGAGGGGGGGGATGCTAATTGCAGCAAGTGCTTTCCAGTGCTGTAATAAAGACAGTCCAAATGGTCCATTAACCTTGTGGCATTTCATAAACCTGTCTGCAGTTAACTGGTGTGAACTCTGAACACTGAAGGTTTATCACCTCGAAGACACTGAGGCGGCTTTAGGAGCCTCTCACTACAGAAAGAAGAGAAACTCCGGACTGAATGTTAGAATGTGATGAAAAGTTCGAAGGTTGAAGTTTGTGAAGGTCGTCAGCTACAGCCGTTAGCTGAGGATCCTTCAGGGCTTTTTTACTCTTTCGACTGCAGAGGTGAGGGGAAACGAGGGACCATTAACGTGAAATAGAACAGAGATGAGCTTAGATTTATTCAACAGAAGCACTGGCGGTGAGCTGTCGTTGCACGATCGCTTCATTTGAAATTCTAGTCACATTTTCATAGATTCCACATATGTAATTCTCAATGAAAGGAAAATCTGAATAGTGGTGCATATCATTATTATGATTAATCATATTTCTCTTGGATGGAAAGCTGCAGCCACAACCAATATTCATTTTGAATGTTGAGTTCAACAGAATCATATATCCTTAATTAAACTATGGGGCATATAAATATAAAAAATAGAAGTGATATTATCATCTAGTCTGAAAAAAGGTGCCTTTTCTGTTTCTTAAAAATGGACATTTTAATGACAAAATCAGGGTGGGAGAGGTTAAAATGGGCCATTTAGGGCAAATGGAAGAGTTTTACTGTCTTACTTAAAAAATGTATATAATTCTGAATTAATTAATGAAATAAAAAAATCCTTAGCAGCTGCTTTTGTGTATCATAATTTTTCCGTTTATGGCCAGAAGCTGAGGAATTGTTTTAAAATGGTGTTTATATTGCCTGGAGAGGCCAATATGTGTGGATCGCTCCACGCTCCCAATGTCAAGACCCAGAGTAGGAAAACGACAATACACATGCCCAAGGCCTCGAGTGATGAAACCTGATGGCACAGTGAAATTGGACTTTCTCTGTGGAGCAAACATGGCAACCAAACTAACACAAAGCATCAGAACAGCAAGTTGAAAAGAACAGGAATGTGCTCAGTCAGTTATCGCCTTAATTAAACTGTGGAAAATTTGTTAATTATGTAAATTCCTGGTTTTGCATCTGTTCAAAGTAGCTGCCAACACTTTTTCACATTTAAAAATGCTACTGCACAATACTGTACTCTGAGTTTGTGTAATGCTTAATTCTGTTATACTACCCTACAAAGGTAAATGGATTTATGTGTGAGAGTCTGTGTTAAATATAAAAGGTTAATCTCTTCTGTTAATTATTGACCTCTAACACTGACACTAGATGAGATGTAACAAGACTCAGCGTCTACAGCCATGTGGCTCTGTGAGGCCACATGTTAACATCAGAGTTCATGTTTAGAAGGTGTGATGCTTACCTTGTTCACCATTTTGGTTTTGCATATTAGCATGATAACATTTGTTACTTGGCAATAAATGCAAAGATGTATCAGCTGAGACTGATGAGAACTAGGAATTAGTGTTGCAGTTATTACAGATCATTCTAGTGCGGACATGTATGTGTGAGACATTTCACCCAAATCCACGAATGTCAGCCTTGAACCTGGTCTAACCTTCAACCTTCAAACCAACAAACCCAGTAAAACATTTACATTTTAAACAGATTCTGATACAACGACATTCACCAACATTGATCTCTCCCATTTCCTGTCTCTCTCTTATATCTTATAAAGAATTACATGCACATTAAACATTGTGCATGTGCGTGTGTGTGTGTGTGTGTGTGTGTGCGTGTGTGTGTGAGTGTGTGTGTTTTGGAGGGAATACTTACATGGTTACAGTCAGGAGCAATCTCAGTTTCCTGCAGAAAGACAAAGAGAGGAAGATGTGTTTGAGATGTGCTCTGACTTATCAGACCAGCAGACAACATCTGACATTTAAACCCCACTTACATCTGGTATTACAGGAATAGTTCATCACATTATACTTTTCAAAAATATGCTTATTTGCTCTTCGCGAGAGCCAGATGAAAAGATTGATACCATGGAGATGGAGTCAGCAGGTGGTTTGGCTGACTGAGTTCAAACAGAAAAAATGCACCTACAAACAGGTTAAAGTGGGCCAGCATGATCCACAGAGATCCAGCATCTTCGATTAATAAATAAATAAATATGATTGGCAGTTTCATACATGATAATGTGGGCCTGTGGGCCAGTGGGCTTTTACCCGTCCTCTCTGTGTGCCCGTCATCCAGGGTGCACATTCCTGGCTGCACTGACTGAAATATGTTATCAACCCTCCCCCCATCCTTGTTGCACCAAATCTTTGTTTGGCCTTGTTTGCCATGAATTGAGTAAATTATGTTTGTTTTTTTTTTCAAACTAAAAAATGTGACCGAGTGTCAAACCACTCCGCTCTGTACACTGCTGTAATACAAACTGCTCTCGCCAAATCATTTTGAAAGAGCAACGGCCATTGAGGAAACTTCAACACTTGGTTGGCTGACCAATGGTGTAACTTCATCAGTCAGTCACTCAGTCAGTGACATTCACGTTTATAGTGCTGGCCCTGCTGTTGTGGTCCAGCCAAAAAAAAAAAAACAGAAAATGAGCATGAATTAACACAAAATGGCCAAAGAAAGACAACACAACAACAACAAGAGAGAATGGCCACCAAGAAATATAAAATGTCTTATACATCTTTCAGTGCTCCTTTGTGCACAGGGGCCCATTGTCTCATAATCCGTCTATGACAGTGCACCACGCTCAACCCTACAATGTAAGCTAGCTAACCTCTTAAACACATCAACATTATATATAACAAGACACATATGTAAATAGATCATCTCCAGAGTTGGGGGAAAGTGTGGCTAATCACATCCTCAACAATTTCTCCCTTGTTTTGGTGTGACACTGACTTTCCTGGACTGTTTCCTTTGAGTTGCATTAGAAAAGACAAAACTAACCACAAACCAAAAGGACGGTACCAGTAACACACCAAGGACGGTACCAGTAACACACCAAGGATGGTACCAGTAACACCAAGTTACATTCTTTCTCCAAATGGCAGCAGTTTCGTACAAAGCAGCAGATGCTCTCCACTGACTCCCCCACAGCATCCTCAACTATCAGAGCAAACACAGCAGGAGAAGCTGTTACAGCTTCATGTCACTTTGCAGTAAAGAGACATGAAAGCTTTTCATGTTAACTCTGCTCTGCCCACGGGAACAGAGACAAAGCTCCTTCTTCTGACTTTAAACTGTCATTTCCACTAAATGTTTCGGAGACAGAGGAACAAGTGTAATGAGGAAACAGACCCTCAGTGGCCCCCTAGATTAAAAACTACCCATTAGCAAGACAATGAGTTATTAATTAAAGAAGAGCAGCTCCATTCACATCAAAGGCTTTTTGAAACAAGAGCAGATTAATCAACTAGACTGATCCAGCTGAAGTGGTGACAGACGCTAACTGTGTCTGGGTAAAGGGGTGGAGGTAATGTGACAAAACTTTGTTTATATCACTGGAAACCTTGGGGATAATATGATACACCCATGACTCCTAGAAGTTTGCAGTGTGAAACTAACCTCTGTACGTTTGAGCTGACACAAGATTTATTGTAGTTTTGCTGCTGGTAAAAAAAATGTCTTGGTGGTCTGCAGCACCAGGCCGTACCAGCTTTCTTTTCTTCTGTGAATAAAAACTATTCAAATAACTGTGTGTGATGAACCCACAGAGAATGATCACCATCTCTGCAGCTCTAAAGAGCTTTTTAGCCTCTTTTAGCTCCAAGTTTTACACCACATTCACTGTTCGGTTCAGTCTCTCATCAACCTGGTTTCCATTAGGAGCGAGCAGCTGTTTTCATTTCAGCAAACAAACAAACACCCAAAAACACCACCACTGCAAAGAACCACACACAATCAAAATAAAAGAGTCACAGTCCAGTAAAAAGCTGCAGTGACAGAAAACAGCCCCCCCACCCCCCTTTGAGACCGACTGCAGGCGGAAACTGCTGCACTACATCAGCCTCCTCACACACCGTCAATCCAGTGACAGTGAGTGACGTGACGGCTTGACCACACCTGAGTGTCTGATAGCGGCCACCGGCCTGTTTGTGCTGTGGCAAAGTGACTTCCTGTCTAGCAGTTAGTTTCTAAGTGTGGTGCTGCTGTTTTTTTCTTTTTTTTACTCAGACGTCTCTCAAGTGTCGGATTTCAGGGCTTAGACCACCACAAATAAACTCTGAAACGCTGCACTGTAACCACATGCTGCTTTGCTGCTGGGCTGTCCGTGTGTGTGTGTGTGTGTGTGTGTGTGTCGGGGGTGTGTCTTACTCTGAAGAAGAGGCAGATTTATAAGAGCCATTTACCTCTTCAGGAGGCCACAGCTGTTATTGAGTTGAAGCGATGTAATTATCTCAGTAAAGAGGGCATTGCGCAGGGGTCGGAGGAGTGTGTGTGTGTGTGTGTGTGTGTGTGTGTGTGTGTGTGTGTGTGTGTGTGTGTGTGTGTGTGTGTGTGCTTGTGCATGCGTGTGTTGACGTAAGCATGGTGGATAATGGAGGATGACGCAGGGTTCCCACTCTTTTCTAGAGATCATTTTCCAGGACTTGTTCAGTGATGATCTCGCTGCTTTAACAGACCGACTCTCTGGAAGTCTGATTTAAAAGACCAGCCCTTCGTGCTCCAGGCTTGGCAGGTGCTATGCAAATAAAACTATCATTAATGTGTAACCTGAATAGCTACTAATCCGGGTCTGGGGGAAGAAACTGTTTGCCCTTGGCGGAGGTATGCCGTTTACTGGTGTTAACAATTGCTGCCTGAACACCAATAACAGAAATATCTCAGTCTTTGCTTCTAAACGTGTGTGCACAGCTGCAAAGACCAGCCAATAAATCTGAATAAATATAAATAAAAATAATTAATCTGCAACTATTTTGATAACAGATTAATCATTCAAATCTTGTTCAAGAAAATTTCTGTTTTCAGCCTGTGACATATTAGTTGGTAGGAAGAAACAAGATTTTTGAAGATGTCACTTTGGACTTGCACAAACTGGGATTGACATTTTTTCATTATGTTCTGACATTTTATGAACGAAACAATTGAAAAAAGTTTTATTCAACTGCTGCTCTAAGTGTCTGTTAGTGAGTGTGTGTAAATGGGACAAAATAAACTGGGTCATCAGAGTTGTCATCAAACACATCTCATGTTTTTCTCTATCAGAATCCAAAACTCTTACGGGAGAAAAACAAGAGGAAACAACTTATTATCCTAAGACTGTTCAATTTCAACTGAAGCTTGATTTCATTATCGATTCATTTGCCAAGTATTTTCTCAAATGATCTCTTCCGTTAATCATCTCTCACCCCCTCAGATTCATCCTGTGACCCTTTGGAAGGGCTCAACCCCCAGGTTGAGCAGCACTGTACTAAACTAGCTCGCTGTATAACTAGTTAAATCTAGCTCCACCTCGACCAGCTACAACAGTATTAACGATCTAATAATGACAGATGTAATAAAATCAGTCACAGGGTGAAATTAATCATTTGAATTCGATACTTTAAATACATTTTGCTGATAATACTTCTGTACTTTTAATTAAGGAATTTTTCGTGAATAATTTTTTATTGAACTATCTACTTCAACTAACAATCATTTTCATTACTGATTAATCCGTCAATTAATTTCTCACGTAATCATTTTATCTATAAAATTCAGTTTACTATCACGTAAGAAAAGCAGCAAAAATGAACAACTGAGAAGCTGAAATTGGTGAAATTCTGACTTTTCTTGAAAAATTACTTTAAAAATGAATCAGTTATTAAAATAGCCGCTAATCACTGCAGTTACTCTGTCACGTGTAACAGAGTATGTTTACAGTGCTCTATCTGTACTTTGACTTAAGTAAAAGATTTTTTTCAGTCACTGCACAGAACAGACCGAGAGCAAAAGAACGATATGGAAAACCTATTAAAGTATATGAAGAATATGGATCAGTGTTAATCTCTCACATGGGTCAGTGTGATCTGTGAGTGTTTCCCTGGCTGGACGCATAAACTAAACAAGTGGACCGATTCATTGTCTGTCAAGCACATCAATTAACTGGCTAATCGTTTCAGCTGAATTACAGTCCTCCTCCTCCTGTCCACCTGCCTCAGCAGCAGCGGTTTACACAAGTAAAAACAACAGTCTGGACAACAGTCCAATATTAATCTGTGCGTGTAGGCGGCAAATCTGGACAGAGAACGTGATGAGTGTGAAAAATGTTTGTTTGGATTTTTTTTTTTTTTTTATTATTATCACGAAAGATACAGAAAAACACAACAAAAGCAAAATGAATCTGTGGTTAAACTTCAGCCTGTGAGTCACCTGACAGCTCACACACACACACATTCAGTCGCTTCACACCCCACTCAGGTTGATCATTACTTCACTGAGTCAGCTGCGGTACTGTACAGTGGCCTGTTAGGTTAGTTAGGATTATTTAAATTATAGATGAATCTATTTATTATTCTTTTCACTTATCAATTAATCATTCAGTTTATAAAATGTCACAGGAAATGACAAATGAGTTCCCAGGTGACGTCTTCAAACAGCTGATGTGCAACAGCCCAAAACTAAAAGACATTCATTTTCCAGTTATACAAAACAGAGAAAAGGCAAATCCTCACATCTGAGAAGCCAGACGTGGAGACCGTTTGGCATTTTTCTTCTTGATAAATGATTTAAGATGATTAATCGATTATCAAAACTGTTGCTGATTAATTTTCTGTCCACTGTCAGATTAATGAATCAGTTCCAGCTCTAAACGATCCAGTATTTCTCCATCGCAATGTTTTTTCCCGGCAGAGCAGAAAATCATGTTCATGCTGAGAAATACAACTTACAGAAAATCCAATTCACCAGTTAACTGAATAAATAATGAAACATAATACATGGGCTGACAGCAGACACCATCTAAAACTAAGACATTTCAATGTTCTTTTACTGTTCATGTTTTTTTATTTTCTACATCAGGGACATTTGTAAACTCAGCAGTAAAAGAGGACGAGAACTCTGACAAACTGTTTATTTTAACTGTGCAGCTCTTTGATTTAATACCATTTGCAAAAACATCTGTCGTTTCTGTTTATTAAAAAAAAAAGAAAAAAAGAAAAAGTGACTTGACTGTGACTGTGAAACTCCAACGATGCATCATATTGTTGTGAGTTCTGCATGCAAATCCATATGCAGCGAAGTAACTGCAGCTGTAAGATAAGTGTGGTGGAGTAAAAGTGCATATTATTCATTAAAAATGTAAATGTGCTTTATTAGTATCCATGGTTTCTGCAGAAAGACCTTTTCAGTAGCACATAGAATTCTATTTAATACCTTCATCACGTCTGAAAGACTGATGGAAAACAAACAGTAAAGCCTCATTATTTAAGAAGTCACAGTTATTGACATTTCTCTCACATTTTTGGCCAGCACATCCCAGTGGTACATAACAATAATTCCTAGTAATATAATTAATCAATTACCATGACCCAGAGCCATGTATGGAATACTAAACAGGGCCCTATGCCTCTGTACGTAGTGACTGTTTATATCTCTTGTTTGAAAGCCACAGTGTTCAGTTAAAAGACCACAAAGAGACAGTAAACGATCACAAAGAGACGCAAAAGAACCTTTCAGACTGGGGTCCTGTGCAGCAGGGGTTGGGGGGTGTTTACTTTTCTATGCCCAGGGGCCCATTGTCTCATAATCCAAGTGGCAGAAAACTGATGGATGGATTAATCAATTTAAAAAATATATAGTTTTTGATAAAACTGGCACATTGAGCTGGACAGCCAAAGGTTATGTTAGTGTCTACATCCAGCAAGACCTGGAATTAATTACTTTTTAATTTCTATAAAACCGTTTTTTTTTTCATCGTTTTTTTATGATTTTCCAGACCTGCAGAAATCCTTCACTGTCTATATGTGTATGTCTTGCACTTAAAAGTTACTCCATCGTTGAATAATTGAATAATACTGTGTTTTTGTAGTTTCCAAAGTGTCAGACAACGGTGAAATCAGCAGAAAAATACAAATATCTGTTGCCCTATATTTATCTGGTGTGTGTCTGTGTGAGTGTGTATGTGTGTGCGCGTGTCTGTGTGTGTGTGTGGCGGCTCGTAGTTAGACACTGATGTAGGTGCGGATGTTCAACCCTGCCTCAGCTGTTCACCTCTGCATCAGTACCATGCTGACGGCCGGTGTGGATCTAACCCACCGGGGCGACACACCCAGCAGATGCCCATCACCTCCCGGGACCGATGTGAAGCTGCCAGCTCGGCCGGCGGCCGCTTACCTCTCTGCGGTCCTGCAGGCATTCCAGCACGGCCAGGTTGTTGGTCCAGGTGTGTTTGGGGCAGAGGCGGGTCAGGTCCTCCCGGCAGGCCTCCTCCTCCGACAGCTTCCAACCGGTCGCCCTTCGAGGCTGCGAGGCCCCAGCGGCGGCAGCGGCTGCGGCGGGTGCAGGTGCATCTTTGATCGGGGGATCGGCGGCTCTGAGGACGGGCGGGTTGGGAGGCTCGGCCGGGCCGCTGGCAGCTTTCAAGCCGAGGACGGAGCCGAAGCCGCAGAGACACACAAACGGTAACAGCAGCAGCAGCAGCAGCTGAGGGCGACCGTACGCCGCCATCTTCACACCACTGTCAAACTAGTTCTAATGAGACAGCTTCACTTCCGGTCAGCAAATTCACAGTAAAAGTCTTCTTGACGGAGTAAATTTAGATCTTCCGGTCATTTTATTAGATAAATAAATAAGTACGTTTTTCATCAACTATCCCCTAGATATCCAAATGAGTCTATTGATTTCCATCCAAAAGACTCCTTACATACACATATAATAACAAACGAAAATGACTTAAATACAATGTGATGGTAATGATAATGGTAGAAAAACATCCCAACCTAGAAAGGAAAATAGAAGCTAGTTAAATAAATCTTTAAAGAAGGAGAACTCATCCAGATTAAGAGGTAGGTTCAGCCCAGACCAGGGGTGGAGCCAGACATTGTAAACAACAAATTTACTTGACATGGGTGGGGAATGAATCACTAATCTTGACACCTATTTTTGTTACACTATGCTGGAGTAGAGTTCACAAATTGAATGTTTAGATGACAAATTTACATTTAAGTCCAGCCCATAATAATATGTGCTGCTCTAACTGAGCAGTCATGGATCCACAACAAGGAAAAATAAATGTCTTCAAGTACTCTCAACTGAATATTAAACAAACAGAAGAACATTTACTCTAATGATACATTTCTTTAAGGAATAGCATCATAGGATAAACAACATGGACGTGTACTGTAATATGGTCATACAGTATTTTATTTGATCTACCCTCAGCTCCACTATGGAGGTAGATTTGTCTCAATGTTATTTGTGTGAACAGACTGACAATCAGTGAGTAAATGTGTAATCTGTAAATATAAAACACCTTCCACAAATACAATAAAATAAATTTGTAAACTCACAAAAATATCTTGCAAAACGGATCTTCATATACACAAACAAATTCCACGTATAAAATATCTGTGAATAGATTCTAATAATTTATAGATACATGAAAAGCATTTGTGAATATCTTCCTAACATTTACAGCTTTCAAACAGACATTTGTGAATCAGCTTTTTATTTTTGAAGCGAAAAAGTATTTGTGGATCTCAGTTCTACGCTTGTGTATTTGCATTTTACACTCACATAGTTTTGAGACAAACTTTCTGCTGGTCTGAACCATAGACGAAAATCGAACTGTATCACTCGGGAAAAAATGCGATTGCCTGCTGGCGACGCCATTTCCGCTTTTCAAAGTAAGAGCACGCGGTCTTCTATGAGTTATTTCCCCCAAATACTCTGCGACAAGTAACGTGCACTACATTAACGGTTGAAAGCTATGAAGTGACAGGACCTGGTTAAAGTCTTTGAGAGTATGACTGTTGGTGCTGATATTTGTTTTGTTAAGAAATTACGTATTGCGATTTTATTGTTCATTGTTAAGATAACCTTAACTACTAACCCGGCATCTGTTGCCATGGCGATAGTAAACATTCAAGTTGCGGATTGAGGCAATGAAAATAGGGTGCTGGATTTTATACACTGCGATGATGATGAGGATACATTTTAAATAGACCACATTTCATACCCATCCAACCTGTAAAGAGATAATTGGTGTCATTTCTTTCCCATTGAGTTTATTATAATCATACAGTCCATTTGTGGAATGTGTTTTATATTCAAAGATTACACATTTACACACGGATTGTCAATCTGTTCACACAAATGGAAAAGGATTTAATATAAATCCCATTCATAGTTTTTGTTCAAGTTTCATGAATGTTTCTGGGCCTTTTTTCATATTTTTACATTAGTGTGTATGTGGCAGATCGTTCACAGCTAGAGTGAGTGACGTCGCAGAGTGGAGAGAAGCTGTTCAACTGCTCCGAAAGATTTCTGTTTAACTCGTCCTCTCAACCACAAAGTTTCCAATAAGACTAAATATTGCATATCACAGGGGATCTTAGTGTCATTTATGATCTGGTAAAACAAGCCGCTGCCCCTGACAGACAAACAAGTGACAAGGAAGTGACATCCTAACCGATGACCTGCCTTGATGAGAGGAGTGACAGATCGCATTTTTATTTTGACCCCAAAAGAGCGCAGTGACATGTAAAAAATAAATGCAATGGACTGTGGGCGCTATTTGCTTATTGTATTTGAATATCATCACTGTAGAGCAGGTCACCTTCGTTCCTGAGTGAGTTTATTTCATTGTATTCCCTCAAATCATGTTTATTTTGATCATAAGTAGTACATGTAATCTCCTTCGTTTGTTCTCACCTTATTATATATTTAGAGTGAGAATGTATTGATGTATTGATTGTCACGTTTGGCTGTTAATTCTGGACCCCTGAGCAGATACTAGGAACCAAAAAAGCAGATTTGAAACAGGATTTAACTGGAACCGAGTGAGGGAGAGAGAGAAGCTTGAACTGGAGCTGGAGCACAGGGAGCCACAGGAGGGAGGAGTAAGTAACAGAGGCCAGGTGATGGAGAATACCAGGGAAGGATTGGAGGATGGAGGTGTTGTGGTGCAAAGGACCTGATCCAGGGCTTGAGAGGGAATAGGGATGATGGAAAAATCAGTCAAAATGCAGACAGAGGCTGAATGAGGAGTGGAGGGTGAAGCAGGCAGCGGCTTAGGAGGAGGAGGGTGTGGGATCTGGCTCTGGAGTCCTGGGACACAGAGCGAAAAATAAGTGTAAGCATAAAGGTTTCACAAACATGAAAAACACTCTAGAAAATGTTTAAAAAAGAAAAAAAAACAAAAAAAAAAAAAACAGATTTAGAATTGTTTGTTCCTTTATTCACAATAAGAGAATTTGACCTGTATGTGCACTTTCATTTGTAGAAATATAACCACTCAGCTGTAACTACTCACACTTAAATACTTTCAAATACGACCTGCTGACTGCTTCTCCTGCTTTGCTCATATTCATAAAGTCAAGTCCAGTATTTTCCTAGAACACACAGGCCTACGTGTGTGAAAAATTACATGGACTTACATTTTCATTTTTAAGTTTACGTGATCATTTGAATAAAATCCCCAATTGGCTTCTATAATGACTTTAATATTTATAATTTTAGCCTGTTATTTTTCTGCTCCAGATGCATTAGGGATGGAGCACTATATTATAATCATGGATTGTGCATTTAAAGCAGAACCCAACTCTTTTTTAAGAATTCACATTTCTTATTCCTGTGCCTGTGAACATGCAGCGCTGTCCTCTAAAGTTAGAAACCAAAGGGAGAACCTTAAAATGTGCAATGTCATCCCGATTTTCTCTCTAACAATGAATGGGGCTCTGACTGTGCAACTCTTACACCAAAACCCTGTTTCATGTGGATGAGGCCTGTTGGGGGGTACACTACACAAATACACTGTGTGTCCATGAGAATGTGAGTACTCCTGTTAATGTGTCATTTAATAAAAGAGCAGTCATGTAATCCGTTTCAATCCTGCATCTCAGGGAAGGGTTGGCATTGGGAAAATAGCAGGAAAGGAATAAAAGTCATCCTGGATGGCAGAACTGGTAATGGGCCGAGTCTGGCGCGCGTGGTGTATTTCAGGCCTGGTTGTGGGTTGTTGGACTCTTCTCGGGCCACCAGTCAGACTGCACTTCAGCCGGATCTCTCGACCCAGACCCGGCCTCGTCTTTAACAGGATAACATGAATAACAGCTGCATGAGAAAAGTAAACTGCGGAACAAACAAACAAACACAGAAACTTTTCATACCTGTGGCAACATCGGAAGTCAGGTGAACTAGAAACGGGACGTGCAGGTGAGAACGCGAACAGAGCACGTTAGCTGCTTTTAAGGACCGCCCACATACGGGGACTTGAAAGAAAGCGCGCCAAAAACTATCATGGCCGCAGTGACCTGAAACCTGGGTCCGTGTACAGTCCGCGGTCAATAGGTGCAACAGTCGGTGAGTAAAACACTGGCTGTTATTTCCTCTTTGCGTGAAGAAATCAACTGCCCGGTACCGGAAGTAAGTAGCGTCGGAAGCTTTGACTTTACTTTCTAAGCAAAGTGGTTTTTAGTAAAGGTTAATTTTTTGGTGCTTCATGTGAACAGTGCGACATCTACTGGCCTGAATGTAAAATAGGCAAATACAAACGTTGGTATATATACAGTGGGTGTGATATATCACAAATTGAATTTAAGTATCAGGGAAACCGTGATTGTGTTTTATATTCTAAGCATAAATTTATGGTAATTACTGTAAAAGCAAATCAAAATATGTTTTCTCTGTATGAAATTAGTTACAGTCAAGTTAGCCTCAATTATCACATTACAACCCTGTCATACAAAAACAGTGATTAAATCTGCATTTTGAATAAATGTATGTTTATGAATTTAAAATGAAGACATTTTGTCTAGGTTAGTTTTATAGTTTACTACTATCTAAGTTTTATTTGGATTTACGAATGTTTTTTCTAAAAGCTGAGAAAACTGTGCTGGAGGAGCATGTTTGTGTTTATGTGTGCATGTCTCTCCTTCACTCCCAGGGTGTTTGAGCAGCTGAATATGATAGGAACCTGTTAGAGCAGTAAATCCTCCCAGTTTACAGCTGACAGCTGCTGGGAGGCTTATATTGGTTCAACACAAGCCAAGTCTGATTCTGCAATTAAAATTAGTTACAAATTACATTACAAAGGAATTTTCTGGTATTTGTTAAGTTTTTTATTTTTTATTTTTTTATCTTAATTTACACATCAGCTTTTGATTTAAAAAAAAAAATCTAAACAGAAAACATCACTCATCATCTCTGTGAGACTTCTTTATGAACTTTTTTTATTTTGACAGAAAATAGTTCCCAGTGAAAACCTCTGAAGGCCTCTGCATGTCCCCTGTAACTGATCAAATGGCAGGTTTTGATGCTTCGAGCACCACAAACAATATATTTTTTAACTAACTTTGAAATTCAATGTTACTAATTAAAACTTCAAATAAAAAATATGCCATGCAGATGGTTTTGGTTTGTAAACAATGGATTTATAAACACTCTTTTGTTGTTTATTAGCTGTTTTTTTTTTTATCATAATTTAACTGGTGACATTTATTATGTTGTACCATTGATTTGATATTTACATGAAAAAAAGACCAACACTCTAATTTCTTTCTTTCTTTACATGAAGCACAACTTGCTTTCACATTTGAAACTAAATCAACTAGAGATGATATCAAGACTTTTATCTTTGCCACAACATAATTTGTGACTTGCACTTTTGCATCTTTATTTTTACTTAGCTATATATTTGAAGAGCTTTTTACATCACCGCTGAGTATTCATTACTGTCTGTGAAACAGTAGGGCTGAAACAGACAGACGAATGAAAGGAGCAGTCAGCTGTTATACAGACTACAGCTGAGCTGACTCAGAGGAAACCAAGGACAGCAGAGAAATCCCTCTGTAGTCGAGGAAACTGAGCTTTAATTGTCTCAAGTAGTAGAACCAGTGTTGGCTGGTTTGTGTCGCTCATTATAAACACCAGTGATGAGTTATCTTCAGTCTGCTGGCTGAATTATTACTGCAGCACATTCTTACAGTACAACTCTTTTTTAAATTTTGTATTTGTGTTTTAAGTTCTGTATGCAGATCAACAGCTATAGTCCGACTGTTAATAAATGATTATACAACACTGAATCTGCAGTGGTAAATGTTAATAATCAGTTAATGATATGGATTTTGGTCCAGATGTCCTGCAGCACTTTTCCAAAAGATAAGTGGTCAAACAGTCTATTGGAGAGGAGGATTTCCCACAACCTGGGAACCCAAAAGTTGCTCCTGATGGCTTGTAACTGATATTAAGCAGTAATTTTAAAGTAATTTAAACTCTTCATAAACAGTGCCGTATCAGAAAGTGGTACTGATATCTCAGGCTGTGGATAATCACACGGCACTTGTTAGTTGGATGAATTCATTGTTGCTTTTCATGGGTTTTTGTTGACAATAAGAAAAGCAGAGAATGTTGTTCACAACCCGGAAACACTGAGTCTGTGTCGTGATCCCACATTGTCTAAAGATTCTTACAGAAGAAAATTCCTGAAGCATTTGTTTTAGGCTCAGCTGCTGCCATCGAGCAACTGGTCCATCACACACACACACACACACACACACACACACACTGAACCAACATCTATAAAGAGACCAGAAAGCTGTGGTATTTCCATTCATCTCTCTTGGGGTCTCTCGGCCACAGGCAGGACTCAGCTGCAGTCAGGATGGCAGAGTAAGTTCTGATCTCTCTGAGGAAACTTTCTCGACCAACAAAACTCACAGAAATGCACTAATCATTCTCCTCCTTGTTTGTTTTGTTTTTTTTTATGTTAAGGAAGAAGATGTCAACGAGCCGGAGGAATCAGCTCAAGGTAGAGTAAGATGGTGTTAATGAAGGCCTGAAGTTTTAAATGTCTTCTTCTTATGTTGTTCTCCAGTCTCTGTAGCTGTGAAGTAAATGTTATCATCACCATCATAAATTCAGCACTGATCTAGAAGCAGTTTACTGAGTGTTTTGTAGGAAAAACAATCTACAACAGTACAATAAGAACAAGAAGCTTTAAAGACAACTGAATACAGTATAAAAAATGTGAATGAACGGATTATAAGAAAATGAGCCCCTGGGCACAGACATGTAATAGGCCCCCCACCCCTACTATATAAGACCCCCGGACTGAAAGTGGCTTTGTGGTAATTTTGAGTCTCTTCATGGTCGTTTTGAGGCTCTTTTCTACCATTTTGTGTGTTTGTGTGGTAATTTGTGTCTCTGTCTGGTTGTTTTGAGCTCTTTGTGGTCATTTTGTGTGTGTTTATAGTTGTTCTGAGTCTCTGGCAGTAACTTGTTGCATGTAAAACACACTCTCGGGTGTGACTATTTGTTCAAAAGTGGTATCTGAACTTTAGTATTTTGTGAGGAGAAGCTGTCTCACTCCAGTCCAAAGCTTCCTGCTACAGCAGATGAACACTGACATTCCTCTGCACAGATATAATACCAAATACTACAGCACACTGTACACAGTGTGGTCTCTGTGGTCCTGATTTAAATTACCTTCCTAATTTTAACATAAAGGAAAAATGATAAAACAGACAGATATTTGATTGTATTAGGTTGGTGGATACTCAGTATTAAAAGACTGATAAAGATCGTGAGAAAATCAAAGTAAAACATGATCAGGACATTGAATGAAAAAGCACACACATGTTCACAACATCACTATCATCGTCGTCCTTCAGCGTCAGCCTGGTTGTGTTTGTGGTGGTGTGAAGGTGTGGACTCCTCTTCCTCTCAGAGCTTGCTGCTGCAGATCGGTGAGGCGATGCTGGAGGAGGAGGAGAGGGAGGCCGAGAAGGAGAAGATGAAGTACATGGAGGAGAGCTGCCAGGCCCTCTCCGTCCCAGGCTGCATGCAGGAGCTCCAGGTAAACGTCCACCACCTGGGCGCCGGGTGGAGTCCAGAAACACTCAGTGGATTTGTTCACAAGCAGGTTTATAGACGTAGAGCTGATATCTAAGGTCATTTCATATTCTAAGCTAAAATTTAGACTGTCAATGTTTTCTTAACAGCTTATTTGCAAAGTCCTTTAAATTTGTTATTTTAAAAATAAATAAATAAAATATTGACCCATTTTCTGCACAAAAAAGACATTGTGAATATTGTCTGATGTTGGCCACAAGTTTTGGTGAACACCTAAAATTTGTCTGGGAATATTATGGCTTTGTACAAGAATCATTTTCACAGGAGAGTGTAGGAGGTGACAGAAAAATATAAAACTGATTCCCTGCTCAATATCTACAATAACCGTGTTTGTTTGTGTCAGTTTCTTCATCTCCCTCATTTCCTGTGTATTCCAACACCAGGAGCTGTGCCGGAAACTTCACAAGCAGATTGATTTGGTGGATGAGGAGCGATACGACATGGAGCTCAAAGTGACAAAGTCCAACAAGGAGGTACGGTTTTAAATGAATGATTCCACCTCTGTCGTTGTCCACAAAAACAATGCACAATAAAAACACTAAGGCTTGTCTAATATGTATCTTCAAGAGAACCCATGCCAACCATTTTCCACTGAAGCCGACTGTAGATTTTTTCATGCAGTATGTCGGCACTCACAGATGACCTCAGTAAATTTTTCCTCTGTCAGATCAACGACCTGAAGTTGATGGTTCAGGATCTGAAGGGGAAGTTTAAGAAGCCTGCCCTGAAGAAGGTGCGGATGTCGGCCGACGCCATGCTGGCAGCTCTGCTGGGCTCCAAACATAAAGTGTCCATGGACCTGAGAGGCAACCTGAAGCAGGTCAAGAAGGAGGTGAAAGAGGAGGTGGGTGCTTCAGACTTTATATTAAACACTGATGGACGATTTCAGCAACTTACTTTAATATTCTCAATGTCTATAGTAAAACAACAGCACAGAGCCTTTGAGATTAAACACAGAACAATCACAACAACAGAGCAGGCTGAAAATCAAAATGCTTCAAAAGAGAGAGTCAACCTTTTATTATTAGTGATCTGAATCAGCGTCCTGCTTGTATCTGCCTGTGTTTCTCTCAGGAGAAGCAAACAGGCGACTGGAGGAAGAACATCAAAGACAAGGCCGGGATGGACGGCAGAAAGAAGATGTTCGAGACAGACGCTTAAACATCAGTGTGTTCTGTTGAGGTTCAGTGTCAACATCATTCATTTCTGTGTATCATGTGAGTCCACATCGTTGGAAGTTTTTTTATAAATGATAAAAGAAATAAATCATGTGGTGTGTTTAAGAATTTCATGGCCATAATTTGATAAATCATGAAAAAGTAATAACACATTTTAGGATGACAAATAGTAGAATGAGATGTGTAAAATAGTGCAAAAATGTAGAATACATTTCCTTCCTATTCTTGATAGTAAATTTGGATTATCAATTAGGAAAAGGATTGGTTTGAGAATATAATATGTTTCATGAACATGGCAGTTAGTTCAGTGAACTTCAGTGGCCTCTAAGCTGGGGTCAACATTCAGTAATAGGTCTATCGAATATTGCAGTACTTCCTGCCATGCAATATTTTTAATAATGTAGATATTTTAATTTAATTTATTTAATTATGTATTATTAAAAACAACAAACATAGAATACAACAATAAAATTATTTCATTAACCCCATCCCCTTGTGCCGACATTTGATATGATATAATGGATATCACTCAAGCCAACAGAAATTACTGAAATGTTAATTAAATGTATTTGGGGTTGTGCCGTCTTTGGAACATGTATTCACATTTTAGATTTTGTACCACTGTGTAACATAACATGAAAACCATTGGAAAATGGAAATCATAATTTTTATGAAAGAAATATTATTAATAAATAGACAAAGTATTGACATATAAAATGTGGGGTGGGTCTCTTTTTGGGACACATTACATATTTTAAATTAGAAAAAATAATTAAGATTTATAAAGTAGAAGAGGGACTAAAATCCAATATAAAAAGGCCATATATGGCTTAAGTGGCAATAACTGGAGGTAACTGATTTGGAGTCACTACATCACATTACATGGAAGCTACTGAAAATAATCTGACAAAATGTGAAAACGTCATTTTAAGTTGTTAAGACAGACATTTTGTCACAATTTTGTGGCGTTTTATAAACAAAAATCCAATGGGTTGATTTAGCAAATGATCTGCAGATTAATTTAAAATGAAAATGATAATAAGTTGTAGCACAAATCTGCAGAAATGCGGCTCTTTCGGGCAAACTGAGGCCCTACCCGGTGTTAAGTGCGCGAGATGTTGACGAGGATAAAACCGCTAGGTGGCAGCACTGCAGCATTGAGGGTCGCAGGCTGCCGAAAAACACAAAGGAGAAAAAGACGACAGTTTTTTTTTTTTTTTTTTTTTTTTTTTTTTTTTTTTTTTTTTTTAATGGTCACGTGAGAAGACGTTCAACTGTGGTGGAAACGGAAGTGCACCGACAACAAGAGGCCGCGAATTGTTAAATTTAAAGACAACTATTTGTAAATCACCCTTTTGGGGAGCAAGACAAGGCGCTTGAGGTCGCGCTGCTCGCCGCCGGTTTCCTTACGAAGAGCCAAAATGACGGCGTCGGTGTTTTTCGGCTGCACCTTCATCGCCTTCGGCCCGGCCATCGCTCTGTTCCTGTTTACCATCGCCCGGGAGCCGCTGAGGGTCATTTTCCTCATAGCAGGGTGAGAGTTTTAATTCATATTCATCAAAACGGAATGAGAGGAAACGGATCTTCATCACAGCAGGGCGATACCGACACTGCTCTCGTGTTTAATTTAGATAAAACCCGGTATTTAGCAGAGCTAGCTTGCTAGCTAACAGACCCCATCATTAGCTAGCTAACTTACTACTGATAGTTCCATTTTCGGACATTTGTGTCTTAAGTCAAAAGTCAGAGTTGATTTTAACTGAATACATTCCCTTTTTTTATTTCTTACATGTTTTAGTTCATGATTCAGCTTGGAGATGAATGAAAAAGGTCCTCTACAGGTGTTATACCACTTTTAAGGTGGATTAGAAAATTCAAATATGAAGGCATGTCCAGTGCAATCTTTAAGCTCATCTTTTTAATCAACGATAATGATATTTTTTGTTTGCTATACCATACACACCGTATCTGCTCTATGTGTTCTCATTTGGAAAAAAAAAATCAGTAGCTGTAAGGGAGAATTTCATATTGTTCTCATGATGGTAATTAATAATTAATTCAATAGAATATTGTTCTGCTATTTGTCTAAGTAGATGGGGACTTTATTTTGATACAGCCAATGAGATCTTGCTTAAAGCTAAGGCTGCAACTAATGAAAATTGATTGATTTCATTATGTTTAGCCGTTTGTCTACAAAATGTGAAGCAATAATATTTCTTACGTCTAAAATTGTACTCATCAAAGTTTCCCCTTTGTCAGTCCAAAACCAAAACATATTCAGTTGACCGCCACATAAGACAAAGAAAAGCAGCAAAAATGAGCAATTGAGAATAAATTAAAAAGATAAAATAGAATAATTAGGATTATTTACTGAGCTTTTACATAACATAACTAAATGTGTTTTTTTTTCTCTCCTGTTAGAGCGTTTTTCTGGCTGGTGTCTCTGCTGCTGTCCTCTCTGGTTTGGTTCATCTCGGTACAGATCAGTAATAAGGACAGTGTGGCGCAGCAGAAAGGTCTGCTCGTCTTCGGAGTGGTTCTCTCTGTCCTGCTGCAGGAAGCCTTCCGCTTCGCTTACTACAAGCTGCTGAAGTAAGTCATTGCCACACACACTCTGCTGTAACACTGACAGGATCCGTCTCATTATATTCATCCTGAAATTTCTCTTCGTCCAGTTAATTTGTTACTGATACTAATATCAGAATCAAAAAACTCTAAGTGTTTGTAGATATAATGCAGTTATACTTTACAAGTCTAATGCAGAGGTAAGTGCAGAGTTCTGTGTTATTTTAGGAACCTGCTTTTGATTTAGTTTTAGTCTTTTGATTAACAAATTAGTCCAGAGCAGCGACTGAACTTTCAAATTGAAATACTTACAAATAGCTCCTCATAAATAAATAACAGTGCTGTCCAAATGAATACTCCACATGAAGTAAACAAAAAGTGAGATTGGTTGTGACACAATTTGTGAACAGAAGACAGCACTGAGGGTGAAGAATGACAGTGAGCGTACAAACATCTGAAAGAGGCGCCAAAGTGGCAGATAAATACAAATCACAACTTCTAGTTAGGACTTTCACAATAAAATCAGAGCGGAAAGAGGATGCAGAGATTTGTGAGTTGAGCCTTCAGCCTTGAGGTTTTCTATCCAGAAGATCATATGCACAACTTATCATGTGATCACATGAGTTCTACTAAATCTGTGGGAATACTCGAGACTCAGATGGTGGATTGTGTGGATTATACCCTAAAAGATTGTCATATTATCTTTTGGCCAGATCGCCCACTCCTAGCCTGACTAGTAGTTCCCAGCATGTTTACCTTCTCTGGTGTCGAGCTGTCCTAGTTTATGACAGCTTCCCACCTTTTCGTCTTTTTCTGTTGACGGCTCATTGTTATAGCTCAGATCATCTTCCACTCGCTGACATAGATTTGTATTATTCTTGTTCTTGTTTACAGCGTCACAGCGAAACTAGGAACTGAGGCGCTAATGTGTGTGTTTGTGTGTGTTCTCCTGCAGGAAAGCGAATGAAGGCCTCCTCACTCTCAGTCAGGAGGAAACCATGCCCATCTCCATACGGCAGCTGGCCTACGGTACAGTTAGTCTTCGCCACACACATACAGTCTATGGTCCGCGCTTCATAACACAACCTGTTTTTATTCAACACTGACTGTTGGCATGCAGCGGTGGAAGAGATATTAATCCAACATTACAGCTGATGAACAAGATGATCACATTTTTATTCACACAAGAAAAAAAAAAAGAGGAGGAAGCATCATCGTCTCTGGACAGCTTTGATATTGACATTTAGCGTCCTGAGCATCATATGATAAACAAGCATTTCTGGTATAGATCCCTTGAATTTGATTTCTTCAGGACTATGCAGTGAGTTACATTTGAAAAGCAAACTTGTATCAAACAGTGTAACTGCTTCTAAATTACACTCTTTGCATAATGGTTGATATTTATACTGATACAGATATTGAAACAAGAATTTCCTAAAAACATCACAGTGCTGTTTTTCCTGTGGTACTCTCAAGTAGGCTTGGGCCAATATTGAATAATATCGAATATCGCAATGTTTCCAGCCATTTACGATATATTTGATATCGGGCACAAAAGAAGTATGCTAACATAACGGTAACAAAGACAAACAAACAGATATACAGGTTATATATCAGGGGTAATATACAAGGTTTGACACCATCAAGTACAAACTGACAGTGGTACAGTCAAAAATATATTAAAGAATTTATTTATATATATATTTAAAAAATAATGATATTGATATTTAAAATTTGGAGCACAAATAGATATAGATAGGTAGATATAGTTCTAATATAGGACTCTATAGGACTCTGCTTTACAGGTACAAAAAGAGGGTTTAGTATTTAACACCTCACATTTATGGATATAAAACTTGGCCAGTAATATGATGAGGTTGCACAGGAAAAAATTAGTTTTACTGTAACATAAAATACAACAAATATCGGGCAGGACAATTACACACCTTGAGTGAAATTTACCTGCTTCCTCTGTTATTGTTGTTTTATCTCAGTGTCCGGCCTCGGCTTCGGCTTCATGAGTGGAGCGTTCTCTGTGGTCAACATCCTGGCTGACTCAGTGGGGCCGGGAACTGTCGGGATCCACGGAGACTCACAGCACTACTTCCTGTCCTCAGGTACCAATTCCCTCCTGTGCTGCTTTTAAGCTTCACAAATTAAAATTAAAAATGTGTTGTTGTTTTTTTGCATGCATCTTCATTTAATGGATAAATGTCCAGACATAATTTAAATGATGTCATGTCCAGCTACAATAAACATGTAGTTACTTGCAATAATGATGCAAAATGATCTGCCACTTTTTTTTGGATGTTGTTAAAAGGCACTAAGTGAATTAGATTAAGCGGGTTAAGGAACAGTTGTCGCAACAATAACGCAAATTTAATGAGAAACAGCTCAGTCAGAGTTGTAACGCTCTTT